CCTGCTTGGATGGGGCTGTGTATGAAAAAAGATGAAAGTTACAAGAGAGGTGCTGTTTCACTTAGGAAATTCTTTTTTACGAATATAGAGACAGAGAACACCAATCAGAGAGTTTGGCAGTGCAGTAGTTAAGGCTACTGTTTCTACCATGATGCAAGTTTGGTTTGCTTACATGCCACCAGACATGTTCTTTGATACTATTGAAAACACCTGTCTTCCACTGTTTGAGGGTTATACAGTGGAGATACAGCCTGAATTTTTTACCTGCCTTTCCACACAACAGGAGGTGGCTGTGTCCGTAAGTGGAAAGGTACTTTACAGTACAAAGCACAAAATTAACTTAAGCTGGCTATAAAATCTTTACAGGATTTTCTTTTGTGCAGATGGAATTTCCTGCTACTGTAAAGCCATAGATGGGTCATCAGCTAGTTTTGCCAGTGTCCTGCGTAAGCACAGGGGGAAATGCTGGTGTAATGCCTCTTAATGATGTCATACCTGGCTAGCACTACATGTCAAAACTGCCACTGTAGCTCTGCATTAGTCTGAGTCAGGCAGAATGGCTGGCATGGGAGAGCAACTGGCTTTGTGTCAGCTTCAGCTGGTCTGGGTGTGTAGGCACAGGGAATAATTCAGCAAAAGCAGTCGACTGCTCACCTCTGCAGTAAATAACCCAAACAGTGCAAACAAAGCAAACCCAATGACAAAGTGTGCCAGCATGCTTTGTTTTGTTTGTTAAAATAACCCTTTATGTTTGCTTTCTTATGTTATCAGCCCAAGAAGATGAATCCATCCTATTAAGTAAGCTCAGCTCCCTATCAAAAGAAAGACAGACATTGTCTTTTGAACGTAAAAAATAGTTAATTCTTAAATCTATAGACGTATGCAGAGACCTGCCCTATAGCCACATCTTGTCCCATTAATGACCTGACATCCCAAACCAAACATGCGTTTCCCAGTGGTGTCCTCAGACAGGAAAGAACTTGCCTTTTATGATGACCTTTGACTACTGGACTTGGAATGACCTCTTGTGGACACGTGGTTTGCCTCCTATAGTATGAATGCTTCTGACCAAAAATAGGAGACCACACAGTGATAAAACAAGTACAGTGTACAGTCTGCTCCCCAGGTTTTTAGCTGCTGACAAATAGTAAGTACCATGTACTTCCAGATTTCAGGGTAGACACATGAAGGAGGTAATCAGTAATAAATGAAATGTGTGTTGACAGGTGAAAGATGACAGTGTACACCTAAACGCTGGTTTAGGTGACAGAGCCCTGTTTCCCTAATGAAAAACCTGCCTTGGTAGAGATCCAGCATGGATATCATTACAAACTTTCTCTCTTTACCATTGATTATGTCAGTACAGGGTGGTCTGTGTTTCTGCTAAATAAATGCCAGATGCCTGAATGTGAATCAGTTGTAATCAGAGGAGCTTTGTTTTCTTATTATCAGTGCACTGAAGGCTGACTAGGCAAGATGAATGCTCTCCCCACTGGTAGTAAAGCTGATGAGCCAAGCCTCGTTGAGACAGTGATAAGGGGTACTTACCTTGATAAATCTTTATTGTGTATTTTAGGGGTGGTACTGTGTCTTTATAATGATCTATAGGAGAAGGCGGCTTAAAGCTTGCATGTCCCTCTACTTTCCAAATCCATCCCAAAGTGTGGAGGCCCAACCCAGCCTAACAGTGCCCTCTGAGGTTTCTCTTCATACCTTCATCAATGCAAAAGTGGGTGTGCCAACATCAAGCCAGCAGTGCTCCCTGTGAAGAAGAGCTGTTGCCCATGTACAGAGGACTTGGCTGCAGCTGCTTAGAATGGTATACTTTTTTCCAGTGGGATGAGTGGAGCATTGTCACTCAGTCAGACCTATGGTTTTGGACTGCATAGACAGGCATCGCTGTATGGGTCGTACCGAGAACACACTTCTGAGTGGGTTTTGTTTTGAGCTGGTTTGTTTTTTTTCTGCTGTGAATACTGTCTTCAGATGCAGTCACAAAGCTGTGGTCCTTAATGTTTGCTTACCTTCATCCATGGACTAAAAATGTGCCCAGGCAGTCTGCAGGCAGCTGTGTGATGCTGCATATCTGAGAGAGGAACATTGCTGTGTTTCCTAGCATAACTGTCTATTGTATTGACTGTCCAAGTTTCTTTTCTTACGTTCATACCACAAACATGGCATCAGCACAGGCCACATTGCAGGTGGCTGTTTTTCTGATGTCTCCTTTCTGATTTAATGTGAACTTTTAAGAAAGCAGTTTTTAAAGAACTGTTTTTGAGATCATCCACACCTCTTCCCCTTCCTCTTCTGGTGCCCCTCCAAAAACCATCTGCTATGAGACTTGAGGCTTACATTCTGGCTGTTCACAGCACTGCTTGAAAAAGAAGATGTGGTTGTGTGGAAGAGCAGGGTTTCACTTCAGATAAACCTCGTTGCTGTAAACATGGTATGCTGGCAGGGCAGGTTTGCTGCTTGTTGTTTCTTTCTTATACTGTAGCAATAGCATATTCCTTCATTTACACGCTTCTCATTTGTCTTTTCGTAATGTTTGCATTTGTGTTGCAGTTTAGTTGTTGTGGATTTCTAGGCATGTAAATATGTTGCCACGTTCTCGTAGTCTTGAGACATGAAAAAATGGAGAGAGATGAAAGGTCAGATAAACTCTTAGTTTTCTTCCTACAGAATTGCTGAAGAATTACAGAATTAGGAGTAATTTTTAAGTAGATACCTTTCAAAATTTGTTGGGTTTTTACAATTTTGTCTATTTTGTAGACAATGCTGTTTGTTTTATGCCCTTTGTTCTGCAAACGTAGCTTTTTCACTAATTCCAGCAAAATCAGTAAGACTGTCCCATGCACCAGCTATTTTCCAAACCCAAGCTCCTCTTCTACATGTACTTTTGTTTAGAAAATGATAAAACACAAGAACTTTGAATGTTATCATTCTGGCCTCCAGCTCATCGATCCAAATGCTACTTGGTTCATGGCATAGCTCCTTGATCTGCCTGCTTCCTTCCACCCAGCTGTGTTACTGTCTGCAGGCAGCCAGGCTCTGCTATCAGCTCATGCTTGCTGTTGAGCAAAGCCACTGCACATACTCCAGCACAGAAGTCGTAGCATGCTCCTGAGCTACCTTCCCACTGTCTGAATTTGCACATATGTCCAAGTGCTGTCCTTTTGTCCATCTGTACAATGCAGATGGATGCAAAATTGGTTTTGCTGTTTAACAGTGGGTCAATTTATTTTTACTGCTGTGTGCATGAGATGCTGTGCAGGGGCAGACAGGCACTGGGTCCTCTGATTTCTTCTAGATTTTTTAATACCTTCTTCACTGCATAAAAATACTTTGCAGAGCATGAGCAGGGGTTTAAAAGTAGAGAGTAGTAACTTTGGATAAGCACTTTTATTAAAAATTAAGAGCTGATTTGTATCCCAAGTACCAGATATGAAGTGTGCAAATTACCAAACTGGGTTGTTAGGAAAAATGCTTTCTAGCCTTTTGATACTGCATTTTATTATCATGTATCAGCATGCAATGAAATGTTATGTTCTCTACTGCCTGTAATAATATAGGAAGCGGTGAAAATTGGAATGGTAAAATCAAACCCATTGATCCAGAAAACCAGCCAAAAACATAAGCCAGTGTTTTTTAAATTTTGGGAGACTGTATATACATAGGCAAAATTAATTTTGTATTACTCTTGAATTACATTCAAAATGAAGAATTAAAACTCATGAGCAGGCAGCTGTGATTAAAGTTTTCTATAAGAAGAGTCCATAAGCATCTGCGTCTTGCATCTGCTGGCTTGGGTACTCAATATTGAAAGACTGAGTAACTATTGAATGAGTTTGTAGTAATCTAGTTACTTGTATTGCTGTCTTTAGAATGAACATCAATTTCTTTTGTGTCTTAATCAGAATTTCTACCTGGCAAACAAAGGGAAGAATGAAAGCAAAGAAATGAATGATAAAAACAAAGAGGCTTTACTGGAGGTAAGCCAACTTTCTAGGCTGGTGATGCAAATGTCACCAAAACTCTGCCACCATCTGCTCTGCAACAACAGTGTTTAGTTCTTTGTGGGCAAAAACAACAGGAAGTTCTGTGATGGTTGGTATCTTTGTGTCTAAGGTTTAATATGTGGATTTTCCTCTGCATCTGGTGCTCACCATTAAAAATGCAGATTGTATCCCCTATCAGAGAAATTAAACGATGGAGAATTATTTTGTTGTTATAGACCCCAGTGCCATGAAACATTTTTACTTAGTGCTTCTATAAAGAGTAATGCCATGATAACAATAAAAGCAGTGTTATACAAATATGAATAACAGAAGCAGCTGTGCCACACTGTTGGGCCAGCCCTTGTGACTTTATATTGTTGGTAAGGTTGATCAGTAGCAACCAATTATCTTTTGGGTTAGAAGTAGATGTACTTCTCACTACCTCAAATTATTAGCTGTACTACAACAGAAAAAGAACCTTTGCACTTTTCCAGAAGGTCTGTTCAGC